GGTTGCCATACCAAAAAGGTTGAATACCTATGCAATAGAAAATATTATAATTTTATTTGAAAATCTAACTCACATAATATCAGCGTTTTTTTAGCTTTCTCACCTTGGAGTAGATTGAGTAGATTCTAAATATAAAGTTCCATTTGAAAGTTTCATGATTGCAAGCTCAGACAGCAACAAAATGTGGAAACTTTGCAGGGGGTGAATATTTTTGCAAAGCTCTGTATATATATATATATAAATTTGTTAAAATCACAATCAGTCGATAGAAGAAGTCCCAATTTTTTTCATGAAATTCCCTCAAGAAAAGAAATATACTTTTTTTCTAATATTAACCATTCAAGAGATAAAGAACATAAAGACAGACACTTGGCTATTATATACACAGATTAAAGTTTACTAAATGCTTATCCTTAATTTTTTATTTTCATTTACAGTATAATAAGCACATGGTGATAATACATTTGTTTGAAACTGTATGTTATCATAAGTTTTGTTTCAGTTTTAATAAAACACCACAGTTAACCAACTAGTAACAATTATCAGTTTCTAAAAACAAATCTAAGTAAATATGGATAATCAGGATCCATGAAGTCAGATTAATATTTAACATGGTAATCAACCAAATGTAAGCTAGTTTCTATGATGAAACATTTATATATCAAATACCGCGTAAAAATATATCAAAATAAAAAGCCAAGAAAAAATTCTAAAACAATGTTAGTAAGAAGCAAGAAAAGACAGAAATAATAAGAGTTAACAAATCTTTCTCTCAGCGTTGCTAAGAAAAATATTTATTTTAAGTGCTAAAATATAACAGAGTCAGGTAGTGTTCAGTATTAAGAAATAAGTGAAGACAGGAAAAGGTTCTTGCAAGAGGCATCTTTTGGAACCAACCTCTTTTTCTTCTTTCTCTTCATCACTTTCCTCACAAAACCTAACTGCTGATACTCTGTCACCAACATTTTGATACCAATCATCTTGGTCCAAAGTTTCTTGGAAAAGGTTTTCTGTAGATTGAACAAAAACAATATATTCCTTTAGTTGTAAAGGTTACTGTTCTTATCTGAAAATTATTAATGTGCCAGAGAATACCACAATATTTTGTGTTTGAGTTTTTAGTGCAAGTTTACTTTTTTGCCTACTGTTATAGGATAATTAAAGCTATTCATTTATCACAAATGAAATATGATAAAAAATTACTGAATTACTACCAGTTAGATTACTTATTTATTTTCATATAAAGCTACACAAAGGGCTATTCATGCACAGCCGCCCTTATTTTTGAACTGATAGATGAATAAAATAGGGAAAACAGCTTAAGCTCTTGCTTGTGGAATTTGGCCATCACTTTTATAACACACCGGCAGACCTAAAGTGCACAGTGTAATTTTGTATTAAATGGGCATGAACCATGAACTTATTGATTCAAAGCCCATAACATAATTTCAATTTTGTGTATATCTACTTTATATTTTCATTAAGTATTTTGACCTTACTGTTAGTGGGATTAGTATAGTCTAGTGGTTAGTATATAGTTCAAAAGATCATTTTGGTTCCTAATGTTCTTCTGATAATTTTTGAATGCATCCTGTTTTCACATAAACCCATAAATCTGTAAACTTACTGAAGACTAATTATAAAAATATCATTTTCTTATCTTTTGTAAGAAGCTTTTAACTGACAACAAAAAATACAATACAACAAATATGGTTAAAAGTTACAAATAATTAAAAGAAAAAGTGAATATATGCATTTCTAACCAGATGTAGAATAAACCATCAGCTTTCCAGGCTGGGAGTCTCCTGTGAAAAAAAAATAGAAATGCTCAAATAATCTTGTAGTATCTTGCAATACAAAAAGTATTAATTACTTTTAAGTTATGTAAGATGATAACTTTCAAAATAAGCTCATTGTTTTATGTGTTAAACAAATCTATTTAGCCTCTAGATAACTATTTATTTCTAAAACTACAGATGAAAAATCAAGCATCAACTGTAGTCACCACAAAGTAAAAAATTCTGCAGGAATAAAAATAAAGCAAAATAAGATATTTTGCAAAAGAATGAAAGATTTATAACCATGAAACTAACAGAAAAAATACAATTTTTTTTTAAATATTCCAAAATTAAATTATGATTGCATGAGCCAGTGGCTACTGAAAAGCTATTTTCACATTAGAATATTTAAGTTATAGGAAACACCTAAAACAAGTTTTACTTATTATGTTGTTATCAGCTCAAAAGAATGAAAAAAAAATTTGAATGTGCTATTACTACATTTTACTTTCTTCTTAAAAAAAGCATATTTAGAAGTTAAAACTTGAAAGATATTGTTTTCTTATTACCACAAATTACGATTTACACTAACTGTATAGTCATCACCTTGCAAAAATTGATTCTCACATATTGGTTTCAAAACATAAAGCATGAAAACATGCAACCAAACAAAAACATGTTTGCTAAATGGGTAGGTTAGGTGGTTTATACAGACTTACAGCACAGAAATGCATACACAAACAATTCAATTAATAACCATTAATGTGCTAATTTTCATAGCTTATTTAACATGCTCAATAGCTTTTATACCTTCAATAACTTACAATATACATGATAATTTTAAATTTTATTGGTTTGTACTTTTTAGTGTTAATATTATTTCTAACTACAATTTATTTAATTGTATTTTTAAAAAACCAATATTACCTAGAAGTTGATTCTGGTAGTCCTGCTGAGGCAACAGAAAGCAAGTCAACACTTTCATACCATCTTGTTCATCAGTCTGGAATTTCAGCAGGGGCTTGGACTATGGATAAAAGAATAAGCAAAAAATGTTAAACATATTTAATTCAATGAGTTGTATAATTTATATGACATTTTCAAACCTAGGTCCACAAAATAAACTCTTCTAGAAAAGAGATTGAACAACTAAATTCTATAAAATAACTTCTATCCAACCAAGTATAAACCAGAAAAAAATTATACACACACACACACATATTATATATATATATTATAATGTACTATATTATTATGAGATGAAATAAGTCTAATGGAGAAAACAGGTATATATAAAGTTCAATGTGAATGTGGTCATGCATACGTTGGTCAAACTAGAAGAAACATAAGAGAAATGTTAAAAACAAAAGTAAAAACTCTGCATTAGCTGATCATGTAAATTATACTGGGCATATCATCCAGTGGGAAAAATTGGTTATTTTGGTTCAATCGCATAATATGATTGCTGGAAATATTACAGAAACTATTGAAATAAAGAACACAGTAAAAACAACTTGATCTTAAATAAGGATGAAGGGTTAGAAAATCAGAAAGTATGTAGATGGCATGATCTTCTTTATTAAATTGTAAACTAGTGGTTTACATGACCATGGGTTTTGTACTTATATAGCACACAGTAATTGTATTTCACATTCCTGAAGATGACATGAAACAGTGTTGAAAGATGTAGAGTGACTTTTACAACCACTGAGCTGTTTAAATAAAGATTTTAATTGTATATTATAAAACATTGTTTGTTTGTAGATTTTAATATTTTAAATAAAGACTATTCATTGTGTCTAGTCTCTTTTCCTTTTCACAAACTCAGTTACTCAAGGAACTCAGAACTACTTCATAATAAACGTCCCAATTAATTCTCCAATTATTTTGCAGAGAAATCAGTTTGTTTTGAAAAAACTACAGAGTGGATAGAAAGGGAAACATTTCTTGAAAATACCACACAATGATACAACCTAAAAATATTGTTATACTTTTTAAAAAATTATTGTGACGCAACCTTAAAAAATGGTATTGCATTAAAAAGATAACTTGTTATTATTGCTCATTCTGAAGAAAATATGTCTTTGTTTCAGAAAAAATTATTCTTTTCAGAATACTTTATATCGTAGAAATAAATATTTTTGAGAAACTTTTTAACAGATAGCAATTTGAAAAAGTTATATGTTGACTTTGCAGAAGATCCAATGAAATGAATTAATATGTCATCTTTCTACAAAGTTACCAAACAAGTTATTTATGGAACTAATTTAATACATCTGCATCTCATTTTAACATAGAATGCCAATTTATTTTTAAAAAAATACAACAATTTTAAATTATGACATATACTGTACAATGAGAACATCCTATTATTTCTACCAAAATTGCTTGTCAGGAATAATTTGTTAGATTGACATTTTCATTATAGCTAGTGGGCTTGATTAATTAGTTATCTAAATCTTAAAAAAAGTTACTTTTCTGTACTTTTAGCTTTGACAAATTTTTCTGGAAAATTATAAACATCACTTATATGACAATATTTCAAAACTATTTTCCTTTCTTTTGATGTTGCACATTCATGCTATTTGATACTTAACACCCAATCTGCAAGGCAATAAGATCACATTCAGTGAACTGGATAGGCTACAGACAGGGCCGGCACTACCCAACCCACTAGGCAAACTAGGATGTCAAAATCTGCGGGCACCACACAAATTCTGAACAACTTGGACAAATACTTAATCCAACTAAAAAACACAAAAACTTAGTAATAAACAGAACAGTGGATAAGACTGATGATAGTAATGTTGAGAAAAGAAAAAAAACTTTTTGAAGTGTTTTATTAAAAGAATGAGAAAATTTCATTCTCACAAGAAGCATCAAAGCTTTGGGGTGGGGTGTAACCTCCACCCTCTCCCCGATCTTCCCCTGCCCCTGGGTGATGGTCAGGAAGAGGGTCACATGGTGTTATGACCTGTCACATGATTTGGTGTAGAGTGGAAAATGCAAGCTCAGTCTTCTTCTTAGAGTGGTCAGAGTCAATGGATTTTGGTCAGAGTAACAAGTTTCAAGAACTCAATACGTCAGCCTGCCAAACTGTAAGTTGAAATTGTTTTATTTCTGTAATGTAATTATTTGATTTTTCTCGTATTATAATATGCATAATCTATAATGCTTGACTTATTTTTTTTTTATATATATTTGTTGAAATAAATGCGGGGTAAGGATTAATTATGTATGGGACAGAAACGTGTTTATAGCGAGTTTTTCTTTTTCAATCTTACTGCTTCTCATCAGATTTTATCATAATATAAACCAGATTGATTAAATATGTAGAGATACCATCAAGGGCAACCACAGTCATATGTGTACATTCATACGTATATTACGTGCCTATAGTGGACTTTTAAAAAAACTTGACTAATCCTTTAATAAAAACTTGACAACATACTATTACAATAAACATCTTCAGTAGACTACTAAACTTGACCAGTGGGAAGAAAATGCTGAGAACTAGATACCCGGCACCATCAGCACATACCCCCATCATTGCTCTCTCTCTATCATTATTTTATAATACGAATACCTAATCTACTACAAGCCCAATGAGCCCACATGAAAAAAGAATACATCTTTTGAGGTATATGTTAATTTTATATGTTCACAAATAACTAATGTGAAACATTAAAAATTTTGCCAGATAACAGATTTACTCGGCAATATGCATGATCACAAAACTATAAATTTTTTGTTTGCAAGTTAATTATAATTTTTTAGCAGGTGTAAAGAGGGTAATGGCTGGAGGAAGTTGTAGAAAAAACTGTCTGGAGCACAAAATTGTAAAAGGAATGCAGAAAAAAATATTGAACTAAAAAAAACAGGTTCACTTTTGAAATAACTTCATCTACAGTGCTCAGACGTTGATCACTCAGCTGATCGAAGAGACACTAATAATGAGATAGCAGTTTTTACTACAGACTCTCAAAATGAAGCTGAATATATTCCAAATACAGAAACAGAAAAAGTGATGTTTGTCAGAATCAAGATTTGGAAAGACATGAAGGCAAAAGCATTACTAGTTTGAACTTTGGCGACCCTGCTACAAGCATCTGCAACTAATCTTGGTGGAACACGGACCAGAACAATTTCACCAATACGATTTTCCTAAAGATCATCAACAAAGAAGATTCTCATCAATTCATTACTGTAGAAGACTTCCCAATGGTGGACAAATGCATCAGATCTGGCTACAATATTCCAACTCAAAGGACTCAGTATTTTGCTTCTCTTGTAAGCTGTTTACTGTAAACCAAAATGGTTCATCTCTTGCTGGTGAAGGTTGCAGAGACTGGAAAAACATATCTGTAGTTCTAGTATTGCATGAAAAAAGTAAGGAACATTTGAATAATTTTCAGAACTGAAGAGAACTTGAACTAAGACTGAACAGCAAGAAAACAATTGATGGAACAAATATGCTCTACATCAAACAGCAAGAAAAATATTGGCAACAAATCTAAGAACAACTGATTGCTTTAGTGTGAGTTCTTGCTATGAAAAATCTGCCTTTTAGAGGATCTCATGACAAACTGTACACCTCAAGCAATGGAAACTTTTTGAAGTTTGTAGAATATCTTGCTTTGTTTGACCCACTTATGATGGAACATCTACGTAAGATACAAGACAGTGAGATGTGTACACTACCTTGGGAAAGAGATACAAAATGAACTGGTTCAGCTTTTAGCCAAAGCGATAAAAAAGAAATAATAACATGTGCGTATGGCGCAAAATACTATTCCATAATTTTAGATGTAAGCCATGTTGAACAAATTACCATGATACCTCGGTTTGTAGACATACCTTCAGACACTGATGATTTCGACCCAGTGCCTCGCGTCAAAGAACATTTTGTGGGATTTGTGGCACTTAATGACACAACATGTGCTGGCATGACAGACACCATTCTACATCAGTTATGGGAGATGCCATTACTGGTCGAAAACATGTGTGGTCAAGGATATGATAATGGAAGCAACATGAAAGGAAAAGAAAATGGTGTTCAAAAGAGAATATTGGACATTAATCCACGAGCATTCTTCGTACTCTGCAGTTGGTTGTTAATGATGCTGCTAAAAGTTGCCTTGAGGCAACAGCATTATTTAATCTGGTGCAACATGTTTAAATGTAGTTTTCAGCTTTGATACGCCGCTGGGAGGTTCTGAAATGACATGTCCCACATCCGACAGTGAAACCATTAAGTGATACAAGATGGGAAAGCCATATTAGTGCTTTGAAAGGTCTTTGCTATCAGCTTGGTTGTACATTTGATGTCTTAATTGAAATCTCTGAGGATATTTCTCTTACAGGATCGTCTGGCAATTCTTCACTAGTTGAGGCAAGCGGACTTGCAAAGAACATTTCCAACTTCAAGTTCATTGTTTCCCTCGTTGTTTGGTATGATATTCTGTTTGAGATCAATACAGCAAGCAAAAAAATTCAAGAGAAGGAACTTGATATATATGATGCAGTTGAACAACTGAAAGAAACAAAAAAGTATCTTGTAAACTGCAGGAATGACAAAGAATATGAAAAAGCATAAGCAAATATAAAGGAACTTGCAGAGGAGTTTTGTCATATCAGAAGAATTTGAACTAGAGCTAGTCCATATTAGGAGAAGGAAGAAACAGATGATGAACCAATTCAGAATCCCAAGCAAACATTCAAGGTGAATTTTTATTTTGCAGTCTTGGACTCGGCAAAACAATCAGTTGTACAAAGATTCACACATATGCATCAAGTTAGTTCTTTGTCTGGCTTCCTTTATAACATTCACAAGATGCAGACAATGACAACGAAGGAAATAATGGATCATTGCTTGACACTAGAAAAAGTTTTATAACATGGTGATAATAATGATATTGATGCTGCAAATATGTGTAGTGAATTACAAGTCACTGTAAGACGGTGGAGAAGAGTGCATCCCCACAAGACATTCTGAAATTTATATGCAAAAAAAAAGCTGACAGATAGTGTTCCAAATGTAGTTATTGCTTTACATATTCTCTTGACACTCCCTGTATCTGTGGCCAGTGGTGAGCAAAGTTTTTCCAAACTAAAATTAATAAAAATGTATTTACGCTCAACCATGATGCAAGTAAGACTTGTTGGGCTTTCTACTCTGTCAATAGAATATGAAATGACTGAGAAACTGGACTTGAAACAACTTGTTCACACGTTTGCCAGAACAAAAGCACGAAAAGTAAAATTTTGATGGACCTGAATTTCATGTGTCATGATATACACTGCGTTTCATAAAAATTTTAATTTTGGGAAATTCTGCATAAAATCAAGTAAATTATGTTTAAAATAACTCTGCTTGTAAAATAAGTCTTTTTAATCTAATATTAATGTAGCTGACTATTTTTTTATACATAAACCTCACAATTAAACATAAGGTTATCTGTATATATTTAATATTAAAAATAAATCAGAGTATTTCTCCAAATCGTATTTAATTGACATTATTTAACATTTATAGAAAATTTCAATTGTTTTGAAATGCAGTGTAATTATAATATAATTTTAAGTTTTATTTTGAAGTATTCAATGAAAAACACAAACATAATGTAATCACGTAGCTAGCTTCTTTAACCTATTATTATTACAGTATTCAATAATTTTATTATTGTTATATACAAGCAGTGAAAAAATAATGGGATAAAATTTATGTTTATATATTATTTTCAAAGAACCTAAAGAAAGGAAAGAAAAAATATGTAACAAATATTTTTTAACCTTAGTATCCATATCTGTTAACAAAGAATTTCTGTAGCTGTTTGCACAATGTTGTAGCAGTAGCAGAAAATTGAATCATCACCAGCTGAACTATTGATACAACATTGTATGCTCTATATTATAAGCCACTGTTCCTGTATTCAGCAAGCAGTCATAACTGCAGAGCTCAGTAAGACTGGCACTGACCAAAGTAATCCCCAGGTCATAAAGCTTGTTAATCCATGGCAGGTGTGGACCTCACATCGTCCAACTAGGAGTATTCCCACAGGTCAATTGCCTAGCTTATCTGGGGTCATACATGGTTGATAGGTTACTGCTAATTATTGATCACCTGTTGGAAACGTTCAGAGGCCAACCCATCTATACAATCTTAAAGGTTCTTTAATACTACTAAGTTATATTGACAGTCCTTCCATCAAGTTCCGTGTTTGACAGAATTAAATATACTAATCTTTTTTTTATAGTAAATAACAAATTTGAGCATTGTAAATCATTCTTATTATTTCGTTGTAGATTTATAATTATAGTGTACGTAAT